CCCGTGAAACCTCATCGTGTAGCGAGCAAGTTGCTCAAATACACCTCCACAATTACACGTTTACAAATAAACACTGAAACTGAACAAAAACAACAAAAAGGCACATTTTATTTTAACGTGAATAGTTCAAAGTTTGTCAGAAAGCAAAAAAAACAAGCCTACTGACTGCTGCTCGGAAAAAATATTTTTTTAATCTGCTCACGCGCCATCAGATGTTTATTTTTTAGTAAACATCTTTGACATTCGTCAGTCAATCCGCGGGTTTCTAGCGAGAGTGTCGCGCTTCGCGCGAAATGTTCCGTTCGCCTTGCTTGGCTCATAAAGCGCCTGATAATCAGGCTACGTGTCCCTGCTGAAGCGATATTCTTCCGCCTCCTGTAATTCCGGCTTCATCTGTACTAATTGTCAATACATATTTGTGCCAACTAACAAAACTCTCTTTCTGGCAACAAACGAAACCCCAGCTGAAAGGAAATATATAAAAAAAAATCTTGTTGAAGCGAAAAAGAGTGACTAAGAGGTGCTGAAAGCGCAACTGTTTAAAAGTCCGAAACATTACATGGCGTAAAATCCCTTGCACCATGATTTCTATTTTGCCGACTTTGGTTCTTGTCGTGAGTTCATTTTTTGTTATCACATCAGGTATGAACTTATCAGTAATAATAACACAGTCACAGAGAACAAAACAAAAAAAAGACAAACCTGTGGCCGCCTATTTTGTTATTTTCTAACGTTTTTAGAAGCTGGAATCAAAGATGCTACAGGAAAGAGCAGAGAAACCAAGTAAGAATCTTCAAAAAAACTAAATACAATTACCAGTTTAACGTTTCAGTCTTCACTCATTCGATCGTCATGTTGTTTGTTAGTGGCATAACACAATGAAGTGCAAAAATTGATAACAAACCTCAAACGCATGTTCAGTAGGAGTATTTTCTATTTTTTTTAAAAGGGTTTACAATCGCTTCTTAGTTTCAGTGGAGCACCTTTTTATTGCACTTCATACACTGCCAGGCCTACTCTGGGACCTTAACTCGCCTTAACTCGCCTTAACTCGCAACTTGAGATTATGTTCAAATTTCCTTATCTCGCCTTAACTCGCCTAAACTCGCATTATCTCGCACAAACTCGCCCAATCTCGCCACTGCCAAGTGGATACCAATTTTAATATCTCATACTACTCTCAGTGTAATTTCACAATTACTCCATAAAGGGAAGACGCCAAAGAACACAAATTTCAAAAGTTTAACAGATAGTGATTTTTAAGGAAAACAGGGTTTTTACCTTTAAAAAAATATGTAATTGACCAATCCCATCCTTCTGGAATTTCCAATAGCCTCTGTGGTAAGGGTATTTCACCACTAAAGATTCGATGAGGTTTTTTCTTACTTAACATTGTCATGCCTTGGAGTCACAACTGGACTGTCAATGGAACTACCAGGAACAGCCTGAACATGCACTAACTCGTTGCCTAATGAAAAGGCTTCAATGCTAAGCATGGCAGAAATTCCAGAGGCATGGGGTCACAGGGTCTAACAAATCCCACATTCACTGTTTGTGTTTTGGTCCACAAAGTAAGTGACATTAACTAAAAGCACTAACAGTGAATCCACGAAAACGTTTTCATAAAATAGTTTAAGTTTTAGTCTTACACTTCTACGCAAGACAAAGAAACACTCTAATTTCAAGATTGCTTTGAATCTCTCAATTGAAGAAAAAAATATTCTCCTATGATTTGTTTCTAATTTTTGGCTTAAAATAAGAAATCTCGAATTTAGAGTGAAATACAAAAACATAACACCAGAATATCAAATTTTTAGTTTTAAGCTGGCTAATGATTTACAAAAAAAGTTTACTTGTAATGGAAAGTTTAATTACTTTGCAAATATAATGCATCCAAGCTGTTTATGACATATGAAGAGTAGTAGCTTACGTATCATCTTATAATCTGATGAAGCTTAATGAGGATTCCAGCTGACAATCATCAATGAAAGGCTAGGATGTAGCCATAATCGAGAATCCTTTAAATAGTCCACATACTGATTGCAGTCCATATTTCTTATAAATAATTCTTATAAATATTTACCTCGTAATAGAAGATCTGTACATTGGTTCAACGTGACATCCTGTATGGCCTACATTGTATTCAGACTGGCAACCATAACCCAGGCATGATTCAGAAGACTTGTTACATTTAGCCCTTAACTGAATAAAGGATTGCTAAAGGTACAATATTTTGCATCGATAGCCAACTTCGTTCGCCATCTTTGAAATTACCCAGAAGATACTGGTAACTCGTGTCTTCCCAGGGCCCTCTCGCTCAGCCTATTGTCCTCGATATGCTTTCTGGGTAATTTTCAAGATGGACGGGAAAACTTCTGAAGAAAAGGAGGAGAACTCGTGCAAAACTTTTGATGTTAAATCGAGAAGTTTCAAAATGTATCACATGCAGGTAAGCTAAGCTAAAGCCTTTTACCCTTGCAACGTTAACTCTATAAAAGCCTTGTTGATCCCAGTCCACTGGCAAGTTTTAGGTTGGAAGCTTCAATGTGGCGTACGTGACATAAAAACACGCACAAAACGCCTGAGCCGGTGATCATTTTGTAAAAATGCGAAGCAGGAAAGTCAGGAAAGATTCATCAGTGACAACTCTTAAGAGTTTGGAAGACAAAGCCGATAGTAGAGAGTGTTTTCTTGTTAATCAAGTTAAATAAGGTATAGTCCTCTGCACAACTATTAACACTTTCTGACATTTTGTAAAAAATAAGTAAGCCAAAACAGAAAATATGGTCATTTATTTTTTGCTGTTTTGCTAGGCTAAGAATGATCAAGAGTTTACTATCAAGTTAACTTGATCCTCCTTTCTTTTGTAGAAATCAAGGTGTCTCTCACAGGATTGTCCAAGTTTAAGGAGGGAGTTTCTAAAATATGGGAACTGCTGTCTTTGCGAAAAGGCATCAGCCTTCCTTTGCAAGAAATTAGAATAGATTATCCGAGGAAACGAAAAGGCAATCATTTCTGGCAGTGAAAACAAACAATTGAGCTGGACTCCAAGGGAAACCATCAGTGACGTGGAGAGAATGGATCAAATGGAAGACTTAAAGATAAGTCGTAATTTTCAAGGAGAAAGAAATTTCATTTCATTTCAGTAAAATTGATTGTGGCATAAAAATTTCCTCAGCTGAGTTGTAATTCGTCAGCTTCCCCGGATTTTTATACTAGTTCTTTGAAGAACATTGACACAGACTGCAAAAACTTTTTTTTTTTTCAATTCTGGAGTTAGTGATAACAATTGATGACATGTCATGTGATACCTATTATGCTCACCTGCCTATTAAAACATAGTGTTATTGATTTAAAAAAATAAATAAAATTAAATTAAATATCCTACCTGTGCTTATACTACAGCTACATTTTTTTTTTTAATTCATGATTGTTTTGTTTTCATTTTTTTTCCTCACTACTGGTAATTTATTACTCTGCCAAATAATTATATAGCTTTAATAAATAATATATGATGATGATGACAATGATTATTATTATGATACAGCCACCAAATGGTCTAGTTTGGAGTCTAAATGCTATATAATTAATAAAGAACAGGACTCCATATCACTAGCATATCCATACTTAAGCTTGTCCAATTAGGAAAATATTTCAGTTTATTAATTTAAACAAGATTTGGCTTCATTCAACTTTGGAGCTCATCTGAAATTTTTGGTTTAATTTTTTCGTAATTGGACAACATGGAGCCTACTATATATAATTATATAAGACATACAAAGATTCCAAGGCATCTTTATATGTATGTTACTAAAGCATATTATAAGTTTTAAGCCTTATAACCTCAACATAAGATGGATCATTTTCCCTTAACTCGCCTTAACTCGCCTTAACTCGCACAAACTCGCAACTAATAGGCGAGCTCAATTTTTCCTTATCTCGCCTTAACTCGCCTAAACTCGCATTAGCTCGCACAATCTCGCGGCGAGTTAAGGTCCCAGAGTAGGCCTACTGCCGTGGGGGCCGGCTTTAACATGTTAGTGAATACGCCTGTAATTTTGATTAGGCTACTTTCTTGTTAAGTCATCTTGGAAGGAAGTTCTAGTAATACAGTAACCAAAAAAATGGTCAATAGGTTTCTTATTCTACATCACACGGGAACTTCCATTTGACTTTGAAATTAGTACAGTTGACAAGAATTAGAATGTCGATTTCTCAAACTCTCAGTTTTTTCGGTCGAAATTCTTGATAACTCGAATCAAACCTAACTTTCCTTCACCAGTCCAACACTGTAATTTTACCCCCCATTTTTTCAAACCTCCCGATGATTCAAACCAATGGTCTTTTCTCAAGTCAGGTGCTTCGAAAAATGAGACAAACAGATCGGAATACTTAACAAAAAAGATCGTTGTCACCATGATGACCACTTGCTTACAACTTGTTTCTTTTATTTTTTTTCCTTTTGAGCTCTTTCTTTAACATTTCAACGTGCACTCCATATGGCATCAACGAATTCCTTTTCGATAACGGTGGCTACTGCAAAAGTATAATTGGTAATCAGACGGTTAACGGAACCATGGTCCAGCTTCAGGACAAAGAACAGAAAATGAGGAAGTTTGAAAAATTTATTAATAAACAAAAGCAAAAGGTCGGCATTCTTCTATGGGAAATGTTTGAGCCAAGGCAAAGCTGTCTCGATCAGATCGACAAAGTATACTGTCATCATTATTTTCAACGCTGTTACATTGATTCTACGGTTCAGCGTGTTTGTAGAGAAGCGTGCGAGGAATTAAAATCGAAACATTGTGATCAAGAGCTCAAACTAATATCTCCAACAAATAGTTTTGACATCATCGACTGCACAGATTTGCCATCTTGGAATGAATCGAGCATCTGCTACCATCCGAACAAGATTCAAGGTAAGTTACACACGTCACTAATAAAACCGAACCTCAGGGATGTTAAGCTGACTACTATATACGACTCGGCAATTTACCACAATGGGACTGCCAGTGACTAAATTTTCTTTCTTAATCTTTATAGACACAGTCCCTTCAAGTCCACCAGCTAGCTTTCGAGGTCACAGCTTAAGCTCGACAAGTATTGAACTCTCCTGGGGAAAAGTTCCAAAATCTCCCCCGTATAAAATTCTTGGCTTCCTTTTGGCTTGCGTAAGGCTCTCTTCGACAGAGGAACATTCGGTTAATTTGTCTTCGGGACAACTTAATTGGGTGTTCAAAGGACTGAGAAAATTCACAAATTATAGCTGTCGACTGAGAGCTTACAACAGGTTTGGAAGTAGTACATGGAGCAAACAACTGGTGATTTCTACTGATGAGGATGGTATGTCATAACTGATCTAAAAAAATGTTGGCGGTTTTGTTTCTTTGAAATCTCACTGAATTATTCAATGACTGACTGATGACTGACTGACTGCCTTGTCGTGATAAACTGCGTTTTAGAGAATAAAAATTGGTTGGCCAGTAACACCATTCCACGGAGGCCACCATTGGTATAGAATTTCCGTCTTTTATGAAGTAGCAAAGTGAAGAAAGCTTTCTTGAATCAATGGATAGAGAGACTGAGGAAAGTAACCTTGGGCGTTCGTAGACATAGGATCGATGAGACCATGCCCTATGTACAACAGGCTTAACTTTTTTTTCATAATTTCACAGTTTATACTCTCCTTCTTTGTTATGGTGTACTTGCAAAAGAGCAGTTTCTAATTCTTTGACAAATCTTAAGGATTAGAAATCATCGATACTACAGCTAGGTGTTTTGACCATGCTAAATAGCTGACTCTCATTTCTTGCTAATAAATACATTGCAGCAGATCTCTAATTCTTTATGGGTAGCACTAGTTGCTGCCGCAGTGAGTGAGCCTGAAGCGAGCGAACGAGGCAGCTCTCTAATCGGCAAAAAATTACATTATAGGGGCATTCAATCACTTTTTCTTACCAAACGCAAGAAATTTTCGGAAAGGTAAGTTTTGATCCCTATAATTTTCGGATCACTAGACTTTCAGCTAGGAAATCCGACCAGATGGAAAATTTATAGGGGATAAAAATATGCCCATATCCACCGTTTAAATACTAAAACACGTTTAACAATTCTATGTTTAAGTGGTTTTGAACTATATTCTCGTTGGTTGCCCCTGTTACCCGACACTTTTTGACATCGAGAACCGAAGGCATTCATTACGAATTTTCATCACAGTCGATGCCAAGGGAGAATGAAAGAAAAGTTCAAAACCTCTGTATATTTGTGTTGGTTTTCGGAAAACAGAACGCGCTAAGACCAACAAAATAGCGTAGCATAGGAGCAAGCAACCGTTTAATATCTTTCAAGCAAATTTTCACAAAATGCAATATTTTATAAGTCCGATATTTTGACTATAGTGATTTGGGTTATGCACTGAAAATACTAATTTAAGCACTAACCATACTGATTAGGGTTAAGCCCTGAGAATAGTGATTAGGGTTAACGGTTAGCTTCTATTTGGGGTTGGGGTTTACGCTTTAATATTTGAATAAAATCACCAACTTGCAGAGAAACCACGATGGTCTAGTGGTTAGAAAAGTGGTATGCAGACCCTATGCTCCGGAATCAAATCCCCTCATATTCGATTGAATTTTTTTTCCATTAACGTTGAAGAGACTCACACTTTGACAACATTTGTTGATCAGAAACAAATGCCAATTCTAAATCGACGTATGATATTTTTGGTGAGACTGGGATTCTTCGATTTGTCAAAATTATTGAAAAAAATATAGGACTGCCGGTCGAACCCGTACAAAATTTTCTCCGAGATCTCGCCAAGATCTCGGCGAGATTCTCGGCAGGATTTGGCCGCCGAGATTTTTTGATCTCGGCGAGATCTCGCCGAGATTCCTAAATCTCGGCGGCCAAAATCCTGCCGAGATCTCTAGGAATCTCGGCGGCCAAAATCCTGCCGAGATTTCTAGGAATCTCGGCGGCCAAAATCCTAAGTATAAGTATACCTAAAGCGAGAAATGCTGCCGTAGGCAAGGAATAGTGAAGAAATGGAATTAAATTAAGTGTGAAGTTTTTAGTAGAAGGTGATATGAGGCTAAGAGGAACCAAAATGAGAACTTTCCTGAACTTTTCTCGACTTGGTTTCAAACGTCGCGCTACTGCCGTGCTCAAGTCGAATTTAATTCGATCAATTTAGTTCGGCACGGCAGTAGTACGACGTTTGAAACGGGCCTTAGTGTCTTCTAATTATTGACCGGTTACCGGTCATATATCCACAGCGAAAAATAAAACTGATTTATTTATAAAATATTGCATTTTGTGAAAATATGCTTTAACGATATAAAACGGCTACTTGTTCCAGTGAGGCTATTTCTTTGTCCATATGCTACGCTATTTTGCTGGTCTTGAGCGAGTTCTGTTTTCCGAAAACCAACCCAAATATGAAGCGGTTTCGAACTTTGCTTTCATTCTGCCTAGGCATTAACTTTAATGAATTCCTTATGAATACCTTCGGTTCTCGGTCGACATTTAGTGTCGGCCAACTACAAAAGTATGCAGCACGTGCAAAGTTGTTTGTTTGCTAATTGGACCTTTTGTTTCTATACTTAAACGAGATTGCAAAATATTCAAATTGCAGTTGAAAATCACTGTGAGAAAAATGTACGTGGTAATCCCCTGCACATCAGTTCTAAATCTCCCATTCCAGCATTACCACAATTCCTTGCGAGTATACTGCGCATCCTAAATCTTTCATTCGCACATAACCGCAAGTCCTTGCGATTCCATTGCGCATCCTAAATCTTTTATTCGCGCATGACCACAATTCCATGCGTCTGGAAAGAAAAAGTGATTGAATGCCCCTATAATGTGATTTTTTGCCGATTATAGAGCTGCCTCGTTCGTTCGCTTCAGGCTCGCTCACTGCGGCAGCAATTAGATAAGGTCGGGTGGAGCCAGACTGGGCACCAAATAAGGTTTACACATTGCATTATTCTCTTATAAAAGTAACGATACCGAAAACGGACCCCAGCAAGCTTGCAGAATTGCTGAAAAAACAAACAAACGAACAAACAAAACTGCAGAGCGTCAGTTACGAAGAGAACATAATAGAAAGTTAAGGTGGCTCCGTAATTAATTCAAGAGCATTTAGCTGTGACAAATTTTCCGTCATAACTTTTTCGATTTTAACGCGATAGCTGCAAAACTTGGCAAAGAACAACAGATGTCATTCGGCAATAATACGAAATATTCCGATTTCATTGATGGTAAATATTTCTTGAGAAATTATCGCTTAAAAGGACCCTACTGTTCAAAGAAAATCGCGTCTAGTAAAAAATTTTGCTGATATTTTTTTATGAAATTTCTGGTAGCGGCTTTAATTGATATAATAAATATGCCAGAGGAATTTCAGAAAAATCGTTGGAGTAGAAGTCCGTAACTAAAAGTCGCTCAAAATTCAGCTGTGAAATTGTTTTGGAATTTCAAAAATAAATTACTATCAGGTAGAAGGAGCCACCAGTTTCAATTTTCGGCACAAGGAAATTCAACGTTAGCTAATTCTTAAAACAAAAGCCGATTGCCTATAGTGCTATTCTTAAAAAGGTACTTTTTACTTTAAGAAGCACTATAAATTGCTGCAAACCTTGCTCTGAAGTAGAATGACTTGTTCTTCGACAGTTTTTAAATGTCCCTTGGCAGTTTTGGCTCAAACTCCTGCTGCATACATTTTGATCTATTGCAATACATTTTCAACGACTTTTACTGCTGTTCGTTGCTTCCAACTCAGGAAAAAAGTATTGAGATTGGACGCTACCTCGTATCAGAGCTCAGATAGAACTGTCCAGCACCTTTGTTTATGACTACAAAATGAGCACGAGCGGCAGTTCTGCGAGGAATTCGCACCTCACCCAGGGGGGACGAACGACAATGATGACGATGCCTGTGAACCGAATAACATCACAGTGCAAAATAAAATTATCGCAAAAATACTGCCCGTGAATAAATTTACAACTCTGAAATTTTTGTCACTCCTTCCTTCAATGAATGGGTATTTTTTTCTTGATTATTATGTTTTGCTCTGCAATTAATAATGTTTATACAGATCGGTTCACAGACATGGGCATCATTGTCATTCGTCCCCCCTGGCTGAGGTGCGAATTCCTCGCAGAGCTGACGCTCGTGCTCATTTTCTGGTCATAAACAAAGGTGCTCGACAGTTCTATCTGAGCTTCGATACAAGGTAGCTTACAATCCCAATACCTTTTTCCTGAATTGGAAACAACGTACAGCAGGAAAAGCCGTTGAGGATGCATTGCAATACATCAAAATGTATGTAGCAGGAGTTTGAACCAAAACTGCCAAGGGATATTTTAAAAATGTCGAGGAACAAGTCATTCGACGTCAGAGCAAAGTTTGGAGCAATTTATAGTGCTTTTAAAAACTGAAAACTATCTTTTAAAGAATAGCACGATAGGCAATCGGCTTCTGTTTTCAGAATTAGCAAACAATGAATTTACTTGTCCCGAAAATTGAAACTGGTGTCTCCTTCTTCCTGATAGTAATTTATTTTTGAAATTCCAAAACAATTTCACAGCTGAATTTTGAGCGCCTTTTTGTTACGGACTTCTGCTCCAACGATTTTTCTGAAATTCTTCTCGCATATTTATTATATCAATTAAAGCCGATACCAGAAATTTCAGTAAAAAATATCAGCAAAATTTTTTACTAGACGCAATTTTCTTTGAATAGTAGGGTCCTTTTAAGCGCTAATTTCTCAAGAAATATTTACCATCAATGAAATCGGAATATTTCGTATTATTGCCGAATGATATCTGTTGTTCTTTGCAAAGTTTCGCAGCCATCGCGTTAAAATCGAAAAAGTTATGACGGAAAATTTGTCACAGCTAAATGCTCTTGTATTAATTACGGAGCCACCTTAAACACCGATCTGTAGTGATTATATTTAAACACTGAACTGAAAACGGTTAATTTTAAAATATTGTAATGTGATACGGCATGTTCTTCATGTATTTTTACTGAAGGAAACAAGCTGCCTTCAACCAATGTTACCTAATGCAAATCTTTCTGTATTTACTGTTTTGTAAAAGTTCCAGATCGTCCTCCGAGTGAACTATCGGCGCTTAGCTTAGACAAGAATTCGGTGCAGCTTGACTGGAGACCAGTCTCCCCGGAACATAACAATGGATTGGTGCTTGGGTACAGAGTGTGTTATAATGAAGTTCACAACACGTCACGAGTCGCCAGTATTAAGGTTGGAGCGGATAAAACTCGTGTAACTATTGATGGATTGAGACCCAATACAAACTATAGCTTCCAGATTCTTGCATTCACCGCAAAAGGCAACGGTACTATCAGTGAAAAATATTTCGCGAAAACGTTGTCAGGTATATAAAGGCGCTTCTTCTTTAAATTAACTATTTGATATGAGGAAAGTTCCGGAAAGGTCTTATGTGGTTCCTTATCTACCCCCCGCTGTTGTTCCAGTATTGCATTTTATGCAAAAAGAGTCTTCTGGGACAAAGAAATTAAAAAGCCTTGACATTCCAACCCAAATTGAAATTCGACATTTCTTCTTCACTCGTAAGGGTGACAAGAGTAGCAGTAGTGCTTATTATCGCGGCAAATATATCTGACCAAGAGAGGATAAAGGGGACAGAGAAGGCATCCCCCAGACACACCCTATTCCATAGGTAATTCGTCTCGAGTTATTTTTAGATTCAGGATAAAGTTACCTCGCGCGCTGCGTGGATGTTTCGCCTGACTAAACGCCGTCCAAAACATTCGGGCAAAAGGCAATGAAAGCGTAAAGAGATCGAGAGCATTTCTGAATATTGTAGCGAAATGAGTCGGCGCTCACCTGGGAAAAGGGAATCGCTGGACTCTTTGACAACCTGTGAAATCAGTTTAACTCGAAGTTGTCGTAACCTCAGTGCTTTAATAAAATGAGAAATTTCGCCGGTCTATTGAAACCGGTCGTTTGTATAATAAAGCAAGTAGGACGCCAAGTGTTATTTTTGTTGAATAAGACTTATAAGAGAATAAATATCAAACCAGAAATTGCTCTCCTCAAACTGTAAATCATAAATGATCNTAGCAGTAGTGCTTATTATCGCGGCAAATATATCTGACCAAGAGAGGATAAAGGGGACAGAGAAGGCATCCCCCAGACACACCCTATTCCATAGGTAATTCGTCTCGAGTTATTTTTAGATTCAGGATAAAGTTACCTCGCGCGCTGCGTGGATGTTTCGCCTGACTAAACGCCGTCCAAAACATTCGGGCAAAAGGCAATGAAAGCGTAAAGAGATCGAGAGCATTTCTGAATATTGTAGCGAAATGAGTCGGCGCTCACCTGGGAAAAGGGAATCGCTGGACTCTTTGACAACCTGTGAAATCAGTTTAACTCGAAGTTGTCGTAACCTCAGTGCTTTAATAAAATGAGAAATTTCGCCGGTCTATTGAAACCGGTCGTTTGTATAATAAAGCAAGTAGGACGCCAAGTGTTATTTTTGTTGAATAAGACTTATAAGAGAATAAATATCAAACCAGAAATTGCTCTCCTCAAACTGTAAATCATAAATGATCCTGAGAGAATATTCAGTGTGTTAAGGATTTCCCTGCTGTATTGTTAGCTCTATACAAGAGAGGAAGGGCGATTCTTTTTTAATTTACGTTTCGCCGACACAGCTTTAGCAGAAATCTCTCTTTAGTCGTTTTCGTCGACAAAACAAATAGCAATATCGCTCTCCGCATCTTCTGCCATATTTTTCTGCGTCAATTCGTGAAGGACGCGTGGCTCTGAGCGTGGGTCATCCACGCGGAACACATTCGCGCTATGTGATTGGCTGTTGTCTAATCCCCCTTGGGATCTATGGTCTTAAAAGTGATATCTTTAAACCTTTGGGAAAAAATCATTTAGAATAGTTCGGTGACGCTTATAAAACAAAACTACCTTTCTTGATTACTTTACTTGCACTGTCTAATTTAGACTCATGCCTTATTCTCAGATTTTCCGATGAAGCGAAATCGCGAAAGCGACGACAGACGACAAAGCAGTACCACAGGCCTAGGTACTTAATTTTAATCTTTCACCTCAACGCATAAGCATGGTAAAAGTTTTAAATTTCCTTAATTCGTGTCATCGAGAATTTTACGCCTTCTTTTTGTGTTTCCTTCTAACAGAAACAGAAGCCATTGTTATAACAATGGTTATATCCAGTATAGTTGCCGTTGGAGTAATTTGTCTAGCAATCTACTTTGTCAGAAAGAAACAGTCACGGAACCTCAGAGTCCGCTACAGTAAGTGATAATAGATACCCTTCGCCCACTGCCATCTCCCCACTAAACCAAAAAAATGGCCCTAGCTTTAACAGCTAGTCTGCTCAGTCTCATGGGCCAAAAACACTCTCTAATGTCGCACGCGGTGGACGCGCTCAACTCAACGAGCAGATTTCCAAAATTAGAAGCTTCACTACAGTATCTTTTGTAAGTAAAATATAATGTTCGCAAACAAGCTTTGACCTAGTTAGGTAATAATCGGTTTGCGCTCGAATGCAAATTTAGGCGTTTAGAAAGGAGATTTCCGGGATTTTTCAACTTACAATTTGTCACTCTGGCACCCCATGTTTAAATCATAAAGTAAGGAAATTACCCCGCTTTATTTTTAGAAACAAACGTAATTTTCTCTGATTCCAGTGACGCCTAATGTACCCGGCACAGATATCAACGAAAGTCTTGTGGCAGTAGAGGCGATTGATGTAGGTGGAGTGAGAGAGTTTACCGCTCTTGGAGAAATAAAGACGTGTTCTGAGGGATGGAGGCACAGCACAGAGAGACTAACTACATAAAAGCTTCTTTCCAAGTGCCAATAACAGTTTTAAACTGAGCCAAAGAACATTGTCACTTTTAATTTTCACTACAATTAACATGAAATAAAATTTCCTAATCCCTTCAAGATCAGTGTATTCTCTTTTGGTCAGCTAAATTCTCCATAGACATTTCAGAGGTTTCTTACATTTGGTCAATCAAATCACTTTCAGACTTCTAATATAAAACAGCCAAATTTGCATTTGCATTTTTAACTTAAAAGTTAAATCATGAGCCTGTGTGACATAAATAAGTACAACTAAGAAATCAACGTGAAGACATCCAATTTGAATGTAAGGAAAAAGTGCCTCGGAGGATCGAATGGTAGAAGTTGAAACGCACCTGCCTATGATAGGCTCCTGATGGCATACTTTGTTCCGATACAGCTAGCATACTAAAGTGGTATTGAATACAGTTTAAGACGGGATACATCAGGAAATTGAGTAATTTTAATTTTTAGTGGACAAAAACCTTTTACCAGAATAATTTAAACAATATCACATTCTTTTTTTACGTTTTCCAAGAGACATAGATGTAATTAGTTATCTGTAGTAACACCAAAGAAAATTACTCATGAGAAGGTTGACAAAATGACATCTTACACATGAAATTTTCAGAATTTTACCTGTGTTTTCACAATTCTCGTGAAATTTGACATTAGAAATTTTCTTTGGTGTTATTACAGATAACTAATTACGTCTATAGCCCTAAGCTTGAAAAACTGGGTAAAAAAGAATGCAATATTGTATAAAACATTCTGGTACAAGGTTTTTGTCCACTGAAAATTAAAATTACTAAATTTCCTGATGGATTCCGTCTTAATTTTTATTGACGGACATCCTTATAAGACATAAAACTCCCTATGAGATGCCTAGATCGGATGGTGGCCTTTTCTTTGACTCTCTATAGTTCATTTTCAAATGACATCTCAGCAGCCATTTTAGTGCACCAAATACATAAGTAATGAAATGGCAGTCTCGTAGGCCACGAAGGTGTACCAAAAAACCCTGTGAGGATTACACTTTTTCTCATGTAAAAAGTTTCTTTTTTTCCAAGAAATTTGCATAGGTGCTGCCAATGTGAGTGAAATGGACACCTTTCTGAGACTGATGCTTAGAGCAGGTCCCAACAGTATATGTCTTAGAGAGTCAGCAACCTGCATGCGGTGAGAACACACCACCGACAAAGTGATTTGTTTTATATCACCCAACCAACCCATTTTTATGAAAACACAGAAAAAAATCAAGCAGAGAGTGCCCTTTCTTTTGTCAAAACAACCACATTTACTATGCAAATTCTCTTCAATAAACAATAACATCATCTTTATTTCCTGTTCTACCAAATATAATATCTACATATTATACATTTTACACAAATAAGTATGGTTAAATATCAGCTATATGATACAACCTATCACCGGTTTTAGCCAGACTTGTTTAAGACCTCCCTATTGATAAAACATCCATTTCCAACAAGCTGTTCATAATGACTTCTACAATGCTGAGAGAGATATGCCTCCATTTTCCCAGGAATAGCAGTTTCACTTTCAACACCTGAAAAAGGAAACCACCATTAATGTATGCAATCGCGACCAATGTGCAAAGAAAGTCATGTCCGATAGCCCAAGGCTAGTGGATTTTACCATCGGGCAAGTGAATTCTGTTCTTAACTTGCCCGCCTGGCAAGTGAAATTTTTAAGGAATTCTAATCACAAAAGAACTGTTATCAATGCTGCTCATCATCAGGCTAGTTAAAATGACTTTTGGGCTAGTACATGCTAAATAAAGCTTGCCGGAATGGCAAGCTGTAAACTGACTTTCTTTGCACCCAGATGACAATATCAATATTAGTGACCTTTTGCAAAAGGATGACAGAAGAAAGAAGAAGACAAACCTAGTGTGAGAAAATTGGAAAATATTTTCTACTGAACTTCACCTTCCTTTAAACAGATCATTAGATCATTTTGTAAAAACAGAAAACAGTTTTGTTAAGTGAAGCTCATGGCAGAACTCACAAGTAAAAGTGCTGTCATGTTTGTCACACGCTAACATCTTACCGTCCTCTTCATTCTACTTTCCTGTTGCATAAACTCACTATAATTTGTGACATTATTGTGAACATTTTTTGTAGTCACACAAATACACTAGAATTAGCATTCAGTTATTGTTAATATGGGGTATCTTTTCAATTCAAAATATTAAAACATGGATATGGCCGGGGTAGTGCCGCTAATTGGCAGAAGCAAATTTCNTGACATTATTGTGAACATTTTTTGTAGTCACACAAATACACTAGAATTAGCATTCAGTTATTGTTAATATGGGGTATCTTTTCAATTCAAAATATTAAAACATGGATATGGCCGGGGTAGTGCCGCTAATTGGCAGAAGCAAATTTCCCTCATGGCTTGACCTTACCCAGATCTTGGTGGTGACACATCATTAGTAATTTCCACAATTGTTCCTCAGACGTCACTTTGCAGGAAAACCAGTGGTGGTGTCGCGAAATTTTGTCTGTTTTCTCAGGCTAACTGTTTCTTTAAGCACAACAATAATTTTAACAATCCTTGGTTTGCAACCACATGGCAAGGCGGCCATGTTGGATGACAATACAATAAAATTTTTCTTGAAGAATTTACGAGAAAATAGAGTTAAGTTCCCAGAGGAGAGAAATGCTTTTGTTCTTGACATCCAACATGGCTGCCGTGACGTCACGTCCAAACCAGCAATAAGCTTAGGTTAGTTTGCAAAATGCATACCGAGAAGTTTTGCAGTTTTCCGGATAGTTTCCTTAGCAACAGCAACTTCTTCAAAGCTTGAAACAAGGATCTCTATTTCCCCGACCTGATAGCCAAAACTAGCTTGATCTAAGTCAACCATTACACCATTTGACATTTCGTAACTCGTTCTAACCGTCGAAAAAGACGCAATCGGTTTACAACAAGTTCTTTGAATGAAATCTTCAATAGTGCAGTCTCTGTCTGTGTTTGCAAAACAAGCTTTCAACAGCCTAGAAAGTTGGCTGACAATTTCCCTTTCATCTTCAATTTCAGTGTAGTTTTCGATCCCGTCCTGGAAGTCTTTCAGTTTCTGAATTTTCAGTTCGAATTTTTGATCGCGTTTCCTCAACCAGAAACCAGCAAAAGTTAGTTCGTTGTTTGGAGTATCAAAGTAGACATCAGTAAATTCTATCTCTCGTTTTAACCATGCTCCATTTGTTTTGAGGGTTTGCTTAAAGTCAGGCGGCACTAGGAATTTCGTTTCCACTTCAAATTTTCTCGGAGAATTTACGGATCTTGTTCCGCTGTGCAAATCTGCCGCCATATTTAAATTGTAGCAACAAAGGCTCACGGGAATTAATCTGCGATTATTACTTCCCCACCCTACAGGAAATAGCTGAAAAAATATATCTTTTTTAAGAAACTTGTTCAAAAATTTCCTGAACAGTTAGTAAATTTATTCAAAAAAGACCCAAAGAACCTTATTCTTTCACTGAAAAAGTTAACTTGCAGCAGAATTTTCTAAAAGAAACGACTAGAAGAATTTCTTTAGTGGGGGAGGGATAGTGTATTTTTGTCGCTTTGGGGAGTCACTTCATCTCTCTGTCGGAAGTAGCTTGTGTTATGTTCGCATTTTATCTACAATCGAAGCGGGATTACTTTGTCAATTTAGCCGTGTGCTGTTTTTGACATCACTTTAACGTTACCTGAAAATATGCTTTGTTGGAAAAGCTATATCATAGAGCATTAAGCTGGAATTATTGTAGAGAAATCGAGCACATTCTTCAAGAGGTTTCTCTGACCTTTAATGGTTGTTTTGGAGGGTTGTGTCGAATTGTTGCTTTGCAATTGCGCCAGCCTCATACACAGGAAGAGAACGTTAACGTCCGAAAAGTTTTATTACGGATAAAGAAGGCTGTCTACGATAATGTCGGTCGTTGACCCTGGTCAGGTAAAGCTTGCCATCGAAAAGGAAGGCCAACTTCCGTTGCTGACTAGATTTGACCAGGTAAGTTGTAATAAATTGCTATCCTGGATTCGAGTTACACGAGTGATTATACGATTGCTATTGATGTTTCAGTTCAATAACTCTTTTATGCACATCATAGTAACTGTTACTGGACAAAAATTATGTCCTAAGTTAAGTTTTTTTCTTCATATAGAGTCTACCACTGGAGGAAATTATCAAGGATGTCTGTGCTAAGTAAGGATTATTAATTATGTACTTGGAAACTAAAACAATAATAGTGCATCAAGTAATTGATGTAAGTTTTACTTTCACTCGTGGTTGTGTGTAATACAGGGGTCATCAAATCATCATATCAGCCCGGAAATGCTTATCACTGACATTTGGCCAGATTGCCTCTCAAAAGTAGTTATTTTACTTCAAATATAAATTAGTTGACAAAACCGTGTAATCAGTAAGGCGAAACCACGTTAATTATTGGCTTACTGTGATTCATATTCGACAAAGGACACTGTATTAATGATCAGTGAGCATGTTGAAGCAAATATTGCTTGATCTATAGGGAAAATCCATTTTCAGTTTGATCTAGAATCTCAACCTGTCAGGTTATAGCCTTTTGTCAGGATTCTGACCCTTATGACTTAAAATCGGCAACAAAATTGTTGAGATACTAGGAAAAGGGTGTATTTTGGGGGAAAAGCAATCTGAACCCCTCCCTCACCCCTAACCAAAGTTGGCTGTATTTCTTTATACAAGTTGCTTCAAAGGCAGCATGTAATATTTTTTGTATGGGGGAGGGAAAGCCCCAATTTTCCCATCATAAGTAGATAGTCAGAAAAACATGAAGAAGGTCCTCAAGGGCAGGGTGCAAAGAAAGTCATTTTTACAGCTTGCCATTCGGGCAAGCTGAATCTAGCATTTGCTAGCCCAAACGTCATTTCAACTAGCCCCCAAAATTTTTTGATGAGCAGAATTGAAGTCCAGAATTTTTTTTTCAGGCTTCTTTACGCAATTGCATAAATTGCGTTCACTGCAACGATCATTTCTTCATTTTCATTTCATTTCCACAGTTCATATATGATTTATTTCATATATCATTAACACAGTTCTTCTGTAAGTTGACTTCCTCAAAATACTTCACTTGCCTGTTGGGCAGGTTAAGAACAGAGTTCACTGGCCTGATAGCAAAATCCACTAGCCCTTGGCTATCGGACACTACTTTCTTTGCACGCTACTTGAGGGTTGAGTGTTGCACCTTTTTTTCATTGTGATGGTAGGTTGAATACTGGTATAACCTGAGAATGGTATTTAGCTACATGATATATTACTGTAAGCACAGCATTTTAGTTGCCCCGGTCTTCTTTTGATTTTGGTTGATAAGTAAATCTTACTATTTGTACAAAAAATAATCACTGGACACTCTGGATTGTATGATTCAGTTTTTCCTAGAGCACAACCTTCAGGAAAATCAATCAGTTTAATTAGAGCTTACATGCACTGTGTAGCTCTCCACTTGTTGTGGCAATAAAGGTCAATAAGGGTATAGGTAAAGTGTGAAGTCATATTTTACATTGGTAGCTCAAAATAGTCAGCATCTGACTAACAAACCTGAGGTTGACATTACCCTCCCCTCCCCTCTCTCCATCATTGGTTGGTTTTACAGGTATTTAAACATACTTAAAGCTACAGTCATGAAAAGGAGAGAAGTCAAAACAAATGAGGTCATATCTACTCACTCTTTGAAGGCTTCACACCAACTGTGCCAATACTTGCATTCTTCTCCTCCTCCCTTCCCACCCTTGACTCTCTGGAGGCATTTCTCTAGTGTGTAGGTATAGTACATGTATCATGCTTTAAGGGTTCCAAGGTAAAGTGGCTGAGTTTGGGTTAATAATGTGTTCTTTTTTTCCAGTTGGTCATTGCCGATTCCAGAGCAGTACGCATTTCAATACTCTGACTATAACTTGTATATTACTGAAGAGGTAAGTTCTTTTTTAGTTCTTGAATTAAGCTTAGATATTTTTATTGTTAATTATGATTATGATTATTGTGATTATTATTATTATTATTTAATGATCATTTTATCATTATTATAATTAGTAGTAGTGGTAGTAGTACTTGTAGTATAAATTAAATATATTTTTATTTTTTATTTACTGATTACTTATAGAACCGAAATGGATTAAAGAATGGAACTGTATTGAAGCTAACACTTTCACCAGTAAGTCTTCATTTCTGTTTGCATTGAAAATTATTATGTATCACTTGACAAGGCTGGACACGGAAAAGGGTCCTTTTTTCTAACGTCGTTGAGAATGATATTATCAAACTTTGACTTGAATGGCTGTTAGTCTTCATTATCACCAAGGATAATCACAGTGAAACGCACTGAGCTTGAAATGCTATACAAGGCCTGATTCAGACTTTTCATGTACCAAACCTGATTCATAAATTACGATAACATATTTTGCAAGCAGTTTGACCAAAATAAGCATTTTTCTCCTTTGAATTTAGTTCGGCTGGAATTAAGATCAGTGACTGAATCAACTCAGCTGGTCTAAATAATTTGGGTCAGCCTTTGTTTCAAATAGGTTCAGCTCGTGAAAGCTCAGGGTGTTTGAACCAGGCTAATACAATGCATTACATTACATGTATTGGTGAAACGTCTCATGAGAACCCAACATGAATCCTATACCAGCATTTATCATTAATTTTGCCCAGATTAGTCCCATAGAATGCTCTCAAAAGCTTTCCTTGAGGGATGACAGGCCAGGCCACTCTTACACTATACAGTCTACTTTAGCAATACCAAACAACCACAGAATTTACAGAATTGTAAGAATTTTAATGGATCGCATGTAAACTTGAAAACACCTGCCCAACGTTTTTGTGAGTTTGTCTAAACTTGAGTGAAAGTGTGATTTATGAAGCCTGGAAAGCATCAAGGTATAATGTTGTTGGTAAAGTCTGTTGTCAGGTTAATTAAACTATTATCCAACCTTACTTAATTCAGAATTTCCTTTGTTTGCATGCCCTACTTATTCATAGGACAGGCAAAAGACATTTGGATATTACTTGAGAAAAGAGTTTTTTCTACAACATCTATATTGATTTTTGCGGCAAATAGACTTGTTTATAAAGAATGTTTTTTCACTAATTTTTTGGTTAAATGCTCATAGGAACTGAAAACAGGCAAAACCACTTAAAGTAGCAGCTAAAAAATTGTGAATTTAAGTTCTATTCAATATGTGTGCCTTAATGCGTAACTTTTTGTTTTGCCCTGCAGGCCAAATTAGCACAAGATATAATAGAGAAGCTTGAGTCTCCAAATCCTGATGAGAAGAAGAATGTCTTGACAACCCTCTCCACTATTGCCGAGGTTTGTCTGTCGTAATATTATTATGTGTATGGTTCAGGGATGCCTGTTCTGTTGTTGAAGAGGAATATTACAGCAATTTATAGTGGGGAATTGGATGCGAACTCTTATGGAACCAAAAACATTACTGTCTCCTCATTAAGTATGTGCTCATATAAAATGGTGCAGTTTGTGTCTTACATGTACATGTATTGAAGGCATGTTTTATTTTTCCCCATATTGGCCCTTTGTAAAATTCTTTTAATACGTTCTGTTGACTCCCGATAACTCGAACCCTCGCTATTACTTGAACCAAAGTTGATTTCCCTTTAATTTCCTTCATACATTTACTACAATTTTACCCTTGGTAACACGAACCCTCAATAACTCAAACCTCCCTCTAGCTCTAAGTAATTTTTGTTTCCCTTCACAACATTTGTGTATAATTCTACCCTCTATAACTCAACCATTTCTTAAGCACATGACATATCGGAAAAAAAAGCAGTGCACTAATGTCCTGAAACATTGCCAAAAACAAGAAAACAAGAAAACAAGAAAAAAAAAACAGGAAAAAACAATCAAAACAAAAAGTCCTTGTGTGAATTCTTTGTTTTTACTTTTTTGTCACACCAGTTGAAATTCAGTGTCCATCTCAGTATATTAATCAAGCTTTGTTGCTTAATTCCTTTTTTATAATATTTAGCAATTTATGATTCCTCGAGCCCAAAAAATGGGCTCTAAGTTAATAGCCCATGAGGCCTATTGACTCAGAGGCCATGTTTTATTAAAATCCAACTAGCTGGTCAAAAATATCGAGACAAAACAACTTAAGCTGGTTAAAGCCAGACTTTAATCCTTTTTTTGCCACCAAAAAACCGGTGCTTTTGCAACTAGTGGGCTATAACTTATAGCCTAGCAGTAGCTCAACCAATCAGAATGCAGCATTAATAATAGACCACTAGTTGGATTTTACTAATAATCCATATCTCTTGCTGCCGTTGAA